ATCCAAATACTTCACACCTTAGCTTGTTTTGAAGCTCTCGGTATCCTGCATCTGGTCGAATTGGTTTGAAGTTTCTATAATAGCTGGAGCAGGTTTCGTAGGCGGTTGAAGTTTCAATTCTCTTATAATGCTAATAATACATTTTGGGACTCACTGGGTAGCTATCAATTCTTACATAATAACCTACCAATTTCTCACTTCCTTTAGGTTCCCAGAACCGGAAACTAGTATTTTGTAGGTTGCCAGATTATCATCACTTCTCACGCCATTTTGACAATGTGGTCTCTCCAAGATTCTTTCGCGGTTATATCCAAAATAATTGGCTTTACGATTTTCTGAATAACTACGCATCCAGTGATTGGGCGGGATTTTCACGAAATTTGATATTATAGAAGTTCAGAACCTGCCGAATCCAGTCGTTCAATCTTCATCAAAATAGGGTTATTGGTTGACGAGCTATTCGCATTCCAAGATCATTACAGCAAATCAGACCCCCTCTCGATCTGCGAGAGATAGCCTTTCCCTTTTCTTGGCAAATTTCCGAGACATTATGTCCCAGAAAAAAGGGTCTTGACTAAAGGAGGATGCTAATATTTTTTTGACTTTATTGATCGATAAGAGGCCTGCATGTTAATACAGCTTAATTTCGAAAATCAGGATCGGCTAATTATTAGAAAATAGGAACTTTCATGTTTTGCAATGATCAACTGCGGTCCTAGCGATCAGTCTTAATTATAAAATGCCGGATGTATCAGAGGTGCTCTAATAAGAAAAAAAAAATCAAAATTACAAATAAAAAAGTTGCGCATATCTCAATCTCAATCAATTCTCAATCTATTAATCTAATAAAATGTTTCTACCTGCAGACATCATCTTGTTCACACTCTTCTGCGCCGTAGTAATTATCTACGAAATGATAACCCGGGGAGTTATAACCATTGAGAATCTCCAAGCTATTTTTTCAGGGAATTTATTCCTATATATAATTTTTGCTGGAGTATTCATCTATTTACGCAAACAACAGACCGGGAGAAATAATAATCTTGATAGGACAATCCTGGCGCTAAATAATGAACTTCGAAAAATGCGCACTGAAAATGAATGGAGAAATGATGCAGTTTCTCAAGGTATGTAACTTATGATTGAATTTTATCGGGACCCATGATCCTAACTGTCCTCTTCATCTATTCTCCACTAGCCGGTTCCAACCGATATTCTTCAACGAGCTATGCTTCCTCCGGACATCGTTCCATCTATAATGATGATCTCGAAATGTACTGGAACGAGTTCGTAGCTATTTTCGATCAAAAAAGAAAAAGAGGTGGGAGGTCTCCTACACAAATGTATAACATATTGTCTGAAGAGATTAGACTTAGCCCCGCCACATTGGCCAGTTTCTATCGTCATCAAAAGGTTCCGAGAGTCACAACAATGGATATACTTATTCCTTGGATCGAAAGAGAAGGAAGGAAAAGGGTAGTTAGGTTTGGGGGTAATAATGGTAGCGGTAGTAGAACTAGATTTTCCGATAATAGTGAAAACGAAAATGATAATAATGATAGTGATAATGATAGTAGTAGCAATAGTGGAGATGCGAATTAAAAATGGTGCTGGGATACTCATTTATGGCTTAGGATCCGAGTATTCCCTCCCTCTCTGAGCCAAACTTTTTGACTCTTTGGGCACCATTTCTTTTTTATTTCTTTTTTACCATATTTGAAAATTTTAATAAAGTTACATCCTGCAGATCAAGAGATCAGGGAATAGAATTACGGGTGGAAATGTTTCCACATAAATTTTTTATTTACAATTTGCTATGCAAAATCTATTACAAGTGCTACATCATGAAAAATACTATATTAATGAAAAAATCTATTCCTCGTCCGGCCCAGCATAGTTATTATTGATAGTTACATTGATAATATTAGCACTTTGTGAAAATGAAGGGAGAGTAGGTGTGACTGGCCTAGAGATCACAGATGTTTCAATAAATGGTGTTATCGGTCTTGATGGAACAGGTGTATTTATGATGGTTTTAGATGATGATGTTTGTGATCTTGATGGTACAGGAGATGATGATGAAAAGGTTGATTCACTTAACATCCTAACGCTCTCATTATGTACTCGTTCGAATGGAAGATCTAGCAAAATTAAAATATATCGATATTAATAAAGTTCACCAGCGACTAATAATAATTGAGAAGCATCAGATTCCCAAAAGTGTAATTACCAGGCTTCAGCCAAAATTCGCTAGAGAACTCCTCATAGATCTCCTCTCCTATTAAACTCCTTTTTTTCCCACCCTTTCTATATTTTACAGCTGTCTAATAAAATAATGATAATAAGAATATTATTAGCCAGATTCTTCATAGGGCTAAGCAAGGGTTACTTACTTTATAAGCCTTCTTGAGATTTTCGAACTTCTTGCGACAGTCCACGCCAGTAAAAAAATTGGTATTTTCATGTTCGTTAATTTTTTCAGCAATATCATTCCAAATCAAGAGTTTTTTTTTATTCAGATTAAGGTGAAATTCAGCATTTCTCTTTTTCGTTCATCAATGAAAAAGCGGGTCTGAGCATCACTCCACTCGATAGAAGACATAATTTAACATGATGAGAAGAATCCTAGGGAATAGGTGCTTATTTATAGAGAAATATCTAATGATATGAACAACGAGTATGATAAATATATATAATGATTTATGATAACGGTGGCTTAGTTGCCTTTTATCTGATTAGCTGATCATCTTGTGATTTCGGTGACTAGCTAGCGTCGATGAAGTATCGTAGAACTGTCGTGGAACTAGTAGGGAGCCAGAGTGGATTCCTGTAATATGATATACATCATGGGTCCTGAGAATAATTTTGCTATTATATAATCTCAGAATATATTTAACCGAATTATGATATATTAGGAAAACTCCAGAGATTTACAAACTGTTTTACATGCATATGAATATGTACAGCACATTTGGCTAAATCCCGATATACTTGTAATCGAATAAAAAATGAATCTGATATTTTATTATAAATACTTGCTACAAACTACT